TAACTGCTGCAGGAATGAGTGGCCACTTAGTACCAGTTACTCCGGTGGAAGAATTTATTTAGTTGTTTTGAGAGACAAAGTAAGTATAAAACAGCATTATCAAGATGAGAGAAAGAGTTGTTATTTTTGTATCACATTTCTTCTAAAATAATGTGAAGCACTTTTGAAAATTTTTACCAACAGCAGATTAACTCCAGATTGAATGAGCATCTGACTTAATACAAACCAAAAGGAACATTGAGTAGATGTGGTTTTGTTTTTTAAGTAGGGATTCTGTTTCCTATCTTGTCATTTATTTCCCATGGAATATTTGAGAGGGGGTAACTTCCAACCCTGAGTAGCAATGGATGTTCAGTACTTGCTCTCACAAAAATAATTGGTGTGATCAGTTTATATCATTGCTCTATGCACACTGATCATAAAAAATTCAGTATTAATTTCCTTTCATCTGATTGATCTTTTAAACTTTATAGTTTTCTTTTCCCTTAAAGTATTTCACCTTATTATGTAAAAGAAATGCATACTTGCATGTTGGAAGCAAGATGCTGAAATGAGGATTAGACACAAGTGGTCCATTAGTTCCAACACTCTCCTTGGTTGCCTTATCCCTTCCATTAGTGCATTCTTTGCTTCTGGAACTTGGCTGAAACTCCTCAGCCAGTTCATGGTGTTTCTGGCAGTGTGAGTGTTGAGTCATGTATGCTTGGTATCCACCCTTACTACTTTTGAAGTTCATACGGTTTATTACTTGCCTAAGTGTTCCTAAATCCTTTTCTTACGTGTACCGGATAGGGGAAAATTATAGCCAGCATTTTGAGGAACCTTTTATGAAAGGATATAAACTGATACTACTAAATGAAGGCAACAGAAGATGTTATCAGTGTTCTCTGTAACCTGAAACTAAACAAAGCTGTGAGGCTCATTTCAAAATATTTTGAAGTGTTAAAAAAATATATAGAGAGAGAGAGAGAGAGAGAGAGATCTACAGATCTATATATAGATATATAGATATAGATATATATCTACACTGTTTCTCAGTTCCACCCAAACCATGTTAGGACTCTCAAGGTAAAATGTCACACGGACTTTTCAGTTGTTACTAAGCTCAGCAGCTTAAAGGTGGTCCCTTTTGTTCTACACCAATTTCAGTTCAATAAAAATGTTAACTTTGCAATTCTGGTAAGTGTTTTTCCTTTGTCTCATTTCAAGGCTTTTAAATTTCTCTAAAAAAATAAATTAAAAACCCACAACAAAGTGCTCTCTGATGCCCTAATGTAAATGATCCTCCTGGGACAGAGATACTTCTTGTTGGTGAAATACGGGCCGGGTATTTGCTCCAGGATCCTGCCTGTTTTCTAAGTGTATAGCATGCCCTCCAGAGGCAACATCTACTTGGAGAACAATAATCACAGTTACCATGTAAGGGTTTCCTGTTGTTTACACACTTTGTGCATACATTGTCCCATTACTCCTCACCACAACCCTGTTATCCCCATTTTATAGGTGAGTGAACTGAGGCTTAGAGAAGTTAAGAGACTTGTCCATGACACAGCTGGTTAACAGTGGAAGCTGGGAAGCCTGACCCCAGCGTCTGTGTTCTTCACCGCTTCTCCATACTGCCCCTCATAATGCTGGCACCTTAGTGTGAGCTTCACGAAGTAACCCTTCCAGTAACACCAGACAAGCTAGACAAACTCTTGATTCAAAGGAGACTAGAATGTGAGGGGTGGGGTAATATCTAGTAGATTATTTTCAACGAGTTGATTTTGTCAGAAATGATGGGTAAATGTGAAGGGAGGCCAAAATACTTCTTGAGAAAAAGTATGTTTCCTTTATTTTCGCATGTGTGCAGTCGTAACAAGCAGGCTCTTTGAGGGAGACTGGGGGCAATGCAGGTAGAGGCCCTGGGCAGGGTACAGTCCTGGAATCACCATCTCCTCTTCAGAGTAAAAGGCCGTCTCAGTAACAGACTCCAGCTTAGGGGCCGTCCAGTCTGAATTAGACATAAGGATAGTTCTCCTAGCTGGGTCCTTAACCTCTAGTTTCTACGAGCTTTCTGAAGGAATAATAGAAAGGGAAAGGAAGAAGTCCTAGACAAAACACTGATACAGAAAACCTGGAACGATCAGATCGATCAGTGCCAGCAGTGATTCTGGTTAGGTTTACGAGGAGCCTCATGGATGAATGAATGAGGTTCCTAATGTTATCATTGTGTCCGCAGCCCTCCCCCACCGGACATTTAACGAACTCTTCTCCTCAGCTGTAAAGAGAAAACATGCCTTCTTACTGGAGCATGGAAGAGGCTTCATCATTGTTTGTAAAGCACTGACGAGTTCCATGAAAAACTGCTATCTAGATTATGGATCGTCCGCTGACTGCCATAGGGAGAGTTTATTGGAGCATGAGTTTCCTGCTGAGAACAAGTCCTTTTTGACTGATTGCAGGGGCGGGGGGAAGGGCAGAGAGAGGCTGGAGGTTTCAAGGTGGAGTGTTTGGGGTTTGTTTTATCGAAAGAAAGCCGAGACCTACACAGACCTGCTCCACTGGTTTTACCTTTCTGAGATTGGGACGGGAGGCTGGCAGTGGCAGGAAGTAGCTCTGGTATTTTAGGATTGCTCAATTCTCAAGCTGGGGTCAGATGATTCTGGTACCATGTGTGACAGTAGAGATGTGTATTTACAACTCCTGCCTGCTGAATTCAGCTGGCCAGCCAGGCTGGTTTGTCTTACTGTAATGAGATCCTTGGTAGAATATGGGCATTTATAGATGGGTGATAAGAATTCCATTTCTAGGGTTGTGAAATGTACGAGAGTGCTTCCTAAAGATGAGCCCACATGACTAGCCCCCGCACTTGAGTTCTAAAGCTGGGACTTCTGGAGGAATGACCACCTGCCTTTCTATATTTCATGGATTTTTTTTTTTTTTTAAGATTTTATTTATTTATTTGAGACAGAGAGCACACGAGAGGGGGGAGGGTCAGAGGGAGAAGCAGACTCCCCGCTGAGCAGGGAGCCCGATGCGGGACTCGATCCCGGGACTCCAGGATCATGACCTGAGCCGAAGGCAGTCGCTTAACCGACTGAGCCACCCAGGCACCCTATTTCATGGATTTCTAGGACTTACAGAATTCCACTGTGGCATAGATAGACAGCATGCTCTACCTCACCAGTGTCATCACCTGCTGCACCCACTTTCTGCACACCAGTCACACAGATGCCTTCAGATTCTCCAATAACCCCCGCTCCTCCTATCCCAAGGTCTTACTCAGTACTGTCTCTTCTGTACTACCAGGTCTATCCTCCACCCCATCCTCACTTAGCTAAGTCCTCCTCACCCTCAAGATCTCCCCTTAACATCACCTCCTCCAGGAAGCTGTCCCTAACCTCTCAGACTAACTCAGGTCACGCTGGTATACACTCTGTTTCATCTTCTACTTCTCTTTTGTGGCACTTATCACAACTTTAACTTAAATACTAGTTGTATTAAGTTCCATGAGAGTGGAGACTATCTTGTTCTCTAGGGTGTTCCCAGCTCCTAGTCTAGTACCTGGCACAGAGAAGGTGCTCAATAATAATTTATTCAAAGAATGAATGAGGGAGGTTTTTGATATTATGTCCTATTTAAAATTCATGTGGCCAGAGGATTTGGATTACTGCAAGAGTCTGCTGTGTCATTTAGGTTTTTGTGCCTTGCCACATCTTTCCAAAGTCATGATTTCAAAATTAGTTTCTTTTTTTTTTTTTTTTCCTGATGGCAGACTGACTTGCCTTTGGGAGTCCCTTTGCCATGATTAACCAACTGGACACCTTCAAAGGGGATGTCTCTTTCCAATTTGGCATTCATACCTCTAGTCACCTCTGGAACATGAGCATCTCAATAGTCTATAATGGTTTGTAATATAAAATTAAATGATTTTAAAAGTTACTTTTATTTATCATAACTGATGGGTTCTGATTTCATTTCCTACTGTATTTTTTCTATAGCTTTTCTCCCACTTCTCCAAGACAGGGTAGAGGACAGCAGTCTAGAGATAATGTTGTATATCATGTTTCTATCTTCATTAAAGATAGATTAGCCTGACATTTCTTTAAATTCGATATGAGCTTTTGTTGACACTTATTTTATGCCTAGCATTTCTGTCATCTTCCAAGCATAGACATTTTGAGGACAACTGAAGGACTGTGGGATTCCTGTAATGATAGAACTATAGTGTAGCCCATCAACAGCATCCAGAACAACTCTCTGGATTCCATAGACGATGAAATGAAGATATTTAAATGACAGCCACACAGAGCAGGATGAGACCCTAGGAGCTTACAGACTCTCCCTAGAGAGGAGCTGAGAACAGCCCAGCAGCCATTGATGGCAAACAATACAAAGATGGAGTCGTAAAGCGCCAAACAAGAAGTGCCGTACACACGTGGTTCAAAGCAGTCAAGCCAGACAGCCTGGCTTAGAGTCCTGCTCTGCCACTCACCAACCACAGACCATAGGCAAGTTCATAAAGCCCTGCAGCTTCAGCTTCCCATCCATGAATGGGATAGTACCTTGCTCAGAGCATTATGATAATGTATAGGTAGGATGGTGCATGGTACCTAGTAAGTTTTCCATATATATATATATATATATATATATATATATATATATATATATATAGTTTATTTTCTAATTATTTCTTTCCATCTTTTATTTGGATTTGGAGAGTTTTGTTACAATATACCTGACAAGCAGCCAGCCAGGACTAAGAAGTCGGTTGGGTTCATTTAGATTTTTGCATAGCAATGAATGAGCCCCATTGTATGATAAACACAATCCAGAACATTTTTGAGGCTCTGCTCCTTGCTGCTTTGTGAAATAAGTTTTCTCTGTGAATCTTTCCAAGTATGGTATTAGCTTCTCTTAGCATCATGGCTACCAATAACAGTACTGATGCACTTGTCCCAAACTTGAGCTTAACTTTGAATATTCTATTAATCCTCTCTTCTACTTTGTCTTCATAGGAGAGTTTTAAAAAGAGCCTTGTGGTCTGTAAGCCTGAGTGCTTCTTATCCATGCAGGTACTGGAGGGGGTTGGCACAGATCAATTCAGGTAAGATGCTTTGGGGAAAAGCCTGCTGTGGAAATGACTCTCGTACACCTGTAAGCTTTTCCTTCTCCTCTCAAGGATAGAGTTCACTTAAGTCAGCCCTGTCAAACCAGTGCCAAGAGGGTCTCCAGGGGTCTTGTGGCCACCTGAGCCACAGAGCTCTGCAGCTGAGAACAGGCTATAAGGGGACACTGGGGACTGTTGGCAGAGCCACCTCCTATCCTCCCTCATCCTTCCTTCCTCCCTCTGCCCCTGATGACAAGTCTGTATTGCTGTGGTAGCCAATTATCACCACCCCACCTGCTCCTCCCTTCTAACTCACCGCTCTCGCCTGAATGAACTATTATGACTCCTCCCTTCTGTTAAGGTGCGCATCCTATCATTTCTCCTGTCTTTGGGTACAGATGACTTGACTTACAATGAGAAGACCAGTTCAAAACCAAGAACCTGTTTGGGAAGTAAAATTGAAAATGCTTTGGTATGTGGTACAGAGAGTAAAGAATATAGAACTACACCCTGGGTTTGAGTCCTAGTTCTGAGATTCACCGACCGGTTGACCCCAAGCAATTTGCCTAATCCCCTGGATCTTCCTTCCAACATCTCTGATGAATTAGGATAATACCTATATTCCATAGTTATGCAAGGATTAAACAGAGACTGTTGCATTTCATGAGAGGGACTGGGCGGAGCAATCATAAAGAACCCTATTTATTTCACACGTGCCCCTGCAAACACACTTTGGTGGCTGTTTCCTTGCCCTCGGCAGATCTTAATTCTTCCAGGACAGTTGTTCTTGATAAGTCCTCTGGTCACTCTTAGCATAAGTTTCATTTCATAACTAGTAAGTCCAACCTTCTCTAACAGCCAAAACTCTGAAATTCATTTAAAATTAAAGTCTCTCCCCTCTTCCAGCTTAGGCTTGCTGAAAGCCAAGTGATTCTTGCCACCCTCCCCATTGACCCACCACTCAGCCACCCATGGGTTGACGGAGAAGAGGGTGCAGAGGAGGGATTAGGGCTGCAGAGATCTTAGCACCCCTGGAATCTGGCCTTGGCTTCCTGCAGGCATTGTCAAAAACCCATCCTGGGTGCCTCAGAAGGTGCCACGCTGAGCTCCTCCAGCCTTGCAGGGTGTTGACAGGACCTCTCCTTTGGCCAGCCCTCCAACAGCGCGCATGCATACGCGCGTGTGCACACACACACACACACACACACCTATTCAGGTAGGAACTAGTAGCTTAGGGTCTCTTTCTAAAGGACCATGCCAACATGGCAGCTACACGTGTTCTTTCTGGTCACATCCACCCTTCCACCTCAGCCATGAACAAACATCCTCTACTCTACTGTAGGGGTGGTTTTGTTTTGTGTATTTTTCCAAGCAAATACCAGCCCTCTGTGTCCCCCAAGTTTGAGGAGTCACAAATCAGGGGTGGTGTTTTGTTTATTTAAACCACTTTATTAAAATATGACTGACATGTAAAAAGCTGTACGTATTTAATATATACAACTCAGTGAGTTTGGAGGAAGGATACACCTATAAAACCATCACCACCATCAAGGCTACAAACGTACCCAACCACCTCCCAAAGCTTCCACTCACACCCTTTGTTAACATTATTATTTTTGTGTATGTGTTAAGAATATTTAACATAAGATCTCTTAGGAGATTTCAGGTACATACTACAGGCACTGTGCTGTGTAGTGAGTCTCCAGAACTTGCATAACTGACACTTGGTACCCTTTGACCGTCACATCTCTTCATTTCCCCCTCCCCCTAGCCCCTATGATCACCATCTACTGTGCTTCTACTGTGCTTCTATGAGTTTCGCTCTTTCAGATCACACATATAAGTGAGAAAATACAGTATCTGTCTTTCTCTGTGTGGCTTATTTCGTTTAACATAATGTTCTCCAGGTCTATTCATGTTTTTGCAAATGGCAGGATTTCATTTTAAGGCTGAAATATTCCATTGTGTGTGTATGTGTGTGTACACAGCACATTTTCTGTATCCATTCATCTGTCGTCTATGGACATTTATGTTGTTTTCATATCTTGGCTATTGTGAATAGTGTGGCAGTGAACAAAGGAGTGCAGATATCTCTTTGAGAACTTAATTTCTTTGGATAAATATCCAAAAGTAGGATTGCTGGATCATATGACAGCTCTATTTCTAATTTTCAAAAGAACGTCCATGCAGTTTTCCACAGTGGCTACACCAGCTTCCGCTCCCGCCAGCAATGCCCCAGGTTTACTTTACTCCACGTCCACACCAACATCTAAGTGGTCTTTGTGAAGCTGCTATCATTAGCCTGTGGTAAGGGGAAACACTCCCAACCCTCTGGAGAAACCCTCTGATTTCCCACATCAGCTGACTTCTCAACTAAAAGCCTTTATGCCAGTGAGAGGAGCCAGAAGCTAAGGGAACAAAACTGGGTATTTTGACCCCCTCTGCAAGCCCTGCATGTGTGGTTCAGCGTCTTGCTTTACAGTTGTGGGTAAACAGCAATCTACTGCCTTGTGACATCAGCCAAAGCTGTCAGAGTCCTGTGTTAAACCCCATGATATATGTTTGGGGATTTTCAGTCCGAACACTGGTGCGTTAATCCAACAAATACTGATGTGCACCTAGGTACTGTGCTAGGGGCTGGGAATCTATCACTGAACCAGACCCATGCAAATGACACAAGTTGTTTGATTCCAATTGTGGTAAGTGCTGCAAAATGAAAGGGCAACTATGAGAATGAATAATAAGGGGACATAGGGCAGTTAGGGAATGGAGCAGGGGAAGTGGCATGGAAGCCAGCACCTGGGGGATGAGTAGGAGCTGGATGAGAGGAGACTGTACCAGAAAGAGCGAGCATGTGGGAAAGCCTTGAGAAGAAGGCCTTTAGCACTCACTGAATGCCTGTTTATCCCCATCACTTCTCCTTAACAAAAGGCATTTAGGGTCTGGCTTTTTTGTTGTCAAACTTGTTTTCTCAATGGCTGCTTTGCCCTAACTAAGCATTTCTGCAGATATGAAGCCCAGACAAGATTCCCTACTGAAGTCTAGGCACTTGAGGTTATTGCCTTATCACAGGCATTTTGAAACTTGGGGTTCTTATCTGGTGGCCTTCTCATGTTGCTAATAGTTCTGAGGAAAGTTTCCAAAATAGAGTGTTATCAGTTTAGGGGACAGTTGATCTCAGACAGGTCCAAGAGCCTTCACATTGGCAAAGTTTGAGCTGGGGAGGAAAGTGACGGCCTTGCCCAGAAATTAGCCAGCCCACCTTCTCCCCTGAAGTTGGAGGCTAGCGCAGAACGAATGCACAGAGAGCCACGCTGGCAAGTGCCCTGCGCTGGCGGAGGTTTCTGGAGTTACAGCAAGAAGTCTTGGCCACAGGGGTAGAGCCCTATCAGCCAGAGGCAGTTTCTCTGAGAAAAATAAGTAACACCTAGACGATTAACATTGCCAGCCTTCTCTCTTTGCTGCCAGCAGCCAGGCAGACCATCTGTGTGGTGTGACTCTAAGGAGGTCATGGTGGGCAGGGAGGAAACCCCAACAAGAGGGGTGGAGAAACATGCCAAAAGGTCAGAGAAGCTGAAAAGAAGAACTTCTAGGAATAAAATGAGCAGAAGTTGGGAAGCAAGGTGGGTATTTTCTGAGAAACCACTTTATAGCATACAATGCTTTGTGCTTCTTCCATGCAATTTTTTTTTTTTTTGCACACATTCTCAATCCTCCCTCTAAACTCTTTTTATCATGAGGGGGAATATCCCACCAAGAAAAAAATAGGCTTAGAGGGGTCACATGGTATCAGTACTAGGACAAGAATACCAGTCTTGTCGCTCTACCATACCCCACTTCCAGCGTACCTCAGGAGCTTGCCCTCTAGGACTTGGTGCTGATCCCCAAGATCTACCTAGTTACTGAGGGGACCCAGCAAGGTCTCCTCCCAGCAAACTCATGTTCTTCCTCCTTGAAATTTAGTCTCTCCTGTAAGAGTACCCCTACTTACAGAAGGTAAATTTCTATCCCTATCTTGCACTGAGCCAGGTATTCCTCAGTGCCTTGGCTTCTTCAGCCAGGTAAACACCTAAATCTACTATGAAAATGCCTCATTCTGGAACACTACCCTTGAGTTCAGGCCATTCCACATCACGGGCATCCTTCCCAGGCTCCCATCCATGACTGTAACCATCCCTTCCTCCTGTTTTCTCCTGGGGGGTGGGATGTCCTCCGTCACAGCCAGACGAAGTTTCCCCCTGGCAGTGGGAACAGAACTTTAAAGGACACTCCTAAGCCAATCAGTTTCACCAAACCATTTTTCTAACTCCCCTACCATGACTGTTATGGTCATCCAATGAAAAATTAAAATTTGTCCTTTGTCTTTTTCTTAATCTGTGGTTTAAAAAAAAGTCCTTTCTACTCTTGACAACAATTTCCAATAGTACATAGTAAATAAAATAAATAGCAAACGCCCCCTGTTCACACTCATCTACCTCAGGTCCCGGAGGTAGCCACGAAACATGCACAGTATCATGCATAGTCTTCTCTTTGGTTCAAATAGGATATCAAACTATAGTCTGCAACTTAATTTTTTATTTAATAACACTGCTTGAACATCATTCCATGTTAATCCCTGTTGACTTATTTCATTCTTTTTAACAGCTGCATGGTATTCCAGCACTTAGGTCATAATTTCATAATTTAATCACTCCTGAGATTCAGGATTATTCCTAATAGTGAAAAACTGAAATCACCAACAATGGCCATATAAATTCTCTTTAGAAAAAAAAAAAAAGATTTTATTTATTTATTTAGAGAGAGAGTGCACAGGAACAAGGAGAGGGGCAGAGGGAAAGAAAGAATCTCAAGCAGACTCCACACTGAGCACAGAACCTGATGCGGGGCTCGATCTCTTGACTCTGAGATCATGACCTGAGCTGAAACCAAGAGTTGGACGCTTAACCCACTGAGCCACCCAAGGAAAAAATTCTTTTTAAACTGAATGGTTTAACATTTTAGTCAGTAACCCTGCTGACAATATCTACCTTACCTTGCCTTATCACCAAATCCTCTTAAAGCATGAGAGAACCATAAAACTTAAAGACTGTTCAGAGGATGTTCAGAAATCATTTACAGATGCAAAAAATTTAAATATTATTCATCAGTTTCTAAAAGTGGTCAAGTACATTTTGTTTCTTAAGTTCAACAACCTTTGATGGTAGCTGTGGATCCAAGCTATGAATGAGGAGAGAAGAAAAAAGCTAATTTCGCTACTGACCATTTTGGACTATTACATGTTTATATTGTACTTTTACGATGTTTAGGATTTACAATAGTTACATTCTGTTCTTTAACCATAATGTTGTGCATTTGGTTTAGTTCAGTGGATTCAAGACTCTACCTCAATTCTTTGACTCTAAGCCTTCCCCATTCCTGAGACTTTATTTTGATTCATCTCATAGTTAACCAGATTTTACTGTGTACTTTTTTCCCCTAATGAAATATCTCCAATGGGAAATTTGAGGTCAGTCTGTTCGTTTCTCCTTTGTAAGAAACATGCTTTTTTCGCCTAGATGCCCATGTGGATTCTTATACTGTCCTTAAAGTTCAACTAACTTGACTATGTATCTTTGTGTTGATGATTCTGTTACAAGTTTCTTCCCGCAAGATCTCTTTCAATGCACAGTCAGATCATAGTTTGTTCCCATGGAGTTTTCATTTTATTTTTGATATTTTTATTTTCTGTTCCATTTGTTCTGTTACATACTTTAGGAACACTATCATCCCATATGCTGACTGACTGTTGTCTGGCTGGCTGTCATCTTGTACTTAGTTTTATTTATTTGGAGATCTGCGCCCCGCCCCCCCCCATAAATGCTATTTTATTCTCTTTGGTCTGACCTCTGCATCACTGAATATGTTTTCAACATCTGTTCTAATGCGGTCTTCATTTCTAGGATAGTTATATTATCTTCAATTTCATTCATCACTCTTAGCTTACTTTGTCTTCTTTTGCCTATTCTTCTTTGCCTATATTATTTCACTTCAGAATTATTTCACAAAAACCTTCTGTATTTTTAAAATTGGGAGTGCAGACAAATACACATCTGAAAATCCTTGGTGTGCTACAATGATTATTCTTAAGAGTATTATGCTTCAGGACGCCTGGGTGGCTCAGTCGGTTGAGCGTCTGCCTTCGGCTCAGGTCATGATCCCAGGGTCCTGGGATCGAGTCCCGCATTGGGCTCCCTGCTCCGCGGGGAGCCTGCTTCTCCCTCTGCCTCTGTCTCTCTGTCTCTCATGAATAAATAAATAAAACCTTTAAAAAAAAAAAAAGAGTATTATGCTTCATTTGCCTTTTGGTTTTTGAGTTTCTTTGCACAGTTTTGTTTGTGATTTTTATTTGCTTTTGACATTAATGGACCTACATCAACTTGAAAACATACACCCTGCTCTGAAGGAAATGCAGTTCTTGCCTGACTTGCCATTTGTTATAATTATGGAGAGGAGTTCAGGCTGGCAGGCTTCAAACTGGGTTTTTATTGGGCTTCAGTAGTTTTTAACCATGTTTGCCTTATTCTCTGACCTCTCAAGTGAGCAGATGGTCCCAGCAAAATGTAAGGACCATGGTGGAGACTCCCAGCTCTCCAATCTTTTATTGGGTTATTTATGTATATCTGTAGCTGCTTGTTTGAATCAATCAACCACCACTAAGCTGGCTGCCACTACCACCTTTTCATCCTCCCTGCCTCACCTCCTAAAGAGGAATTCTACTTTGGGAAGTAAACATGCCTTGCCCAGTAATGTCCTTCCATCTGTCTGACCAACCTCTCTTCTCTGCAATGCAGAGCAAAGACCCTCAGTTCTTGCTCTAAGTAAAAGAGCATCACCTGGACCTCTGATAACACTTACTTTCAGAAAACTCTGAATCTTAATTGGAACCCAAAAGGTGTGTTTCAACTCCTTCCAGCCTCCCTGGACTCAGTCCAGATGCACCATATTTAGGGGATAAAGTACTTTGAGATTTTAGCTACTTCCTAGTTTTACTGCAGATGGACCTTTCCTATCAAAATTTCATCCATTTTAACTTCATTCATTCTTTAGGTTTCATGGAAGGGATAAAGAAAGCACAACTTTACACCACCATCTTTTAGCTTAATCACTTTTTGTTTCCTTGAAACTCTCTAGTTAATAGGCTTAAGGGATTATGAGCATTTTGCTTCACTTAGTTTCTTTCAAAATCATTTATTAAACATTTATTATACTATTGAACACTCCCTGCCCCCAGCACAAATCATCAATAGAATATAAAGTTGGCATGAATCATTTACTAAGTAACTTAAAATAAAAATTTATTGAGTAAATATTAGATGCAGAACAGTATGTAAGATGCTGCTTAAGATATAAAACTGAGTAAGACTCAAGACCTACTTTCAAGGAACACTATGGTAGAACATGGATAAGATGAGATATCTCTAAGTAACCATAATAAGATGCATTGAATGAGGTCAATGAATGATCACTATTATTATGATATGATCATGGTGATGAAAGGAGATATGGAGAGTGTGATCACATTCAACTGAAGCAGTGATAAAAATCAAAAGGAAAGAAAAAATGATGAGCAACATTCACGCTAAGTAACTTGAGGTACGGCGGCATGATGGCAAGACAATGGGCTTTGGAGGCATATGGACGGGGCTCACCTCTCAGATTGTACAATTACTGTGCTCTCTCAGTGAAACCATTCCTCTGTCGGTTTTGCCTTTGGTAAAATACCCAATACTATCAATCTGTTGTAAGGACCAAGTAGAATAATGCATGTCAAGATCCCTGCACAGTGCCAGGCTCACATTTCATAAATGTTTATTTTCCTGCCAAATTAACTCTGTTCATGTTTCATCCCTTAGTTGCCATATCTGTTATATTAGCTATTTAACACATACAGAAGTTTTTTGTTTTTAAAGATTTTATTTATTTGTCAGAGAGAGAGAGAGGGAGAGTGAGCGAGCACAAGCAGGGGGAGTGGCAGGCAGAGGGAGAAGCAGACTCCCCAATGAGCAGGGACCCTGATGTGGGACTCGATCCCAGGACACTGGGATCATGACCTGAGCCGAAAGCAGACACTTAGCCAACTGAGCTACCCAGACGTCCCAGAAAATTTTTTGTTTTGTATAGTTTTAAGATGAGTGTTCTTACCCCTTGTTAATACTATCTGCTATATAATTGCATAATTCTTAACTATATCATTGCTCTCTTAACTCTATCTCTGAAAAATCCAAAGAGACAATCATGAAAGTGCTCCACAAACTGTTAAGTAATAGCCAGTGTAAGGAAATAGTATTACCGTCTACCTTATCTTATGTTCCGTCCTTTAAAATGAAATCCCAGCCCTCCTTTCAATGGGAGAAACCTTTAACAGATCTGAACTGGGTTTTATCCTGCTGTGCATTTAGACAATTTTTCTATTGATTGAAGGCTATTTCTCTGAGAATATTTAGAGTCGCTTGAAGCTGGCTTGGGACCTTGCCAGTGTTTTCCATGGATATGCAACATTATACACATAAAAAAAGAAAGAAAAAGAAAATAGGTCAGAATCTCCTGTAGTTGTGCTGCCTCTTTCCTCAGATAAAGGTCATTCTTAATCTTCCTCCAGCTCCCAGAACGCCATGTGCAATGGTTTTTAAATGTTCTGGGAAGGAAATGGCTTCTATAAAGAAAAGCAGGGAACAAATTTTTCATGGAAGCAAGGGGCCCTACGTGTTTCTCAATTCCATTTAAAACACTGCAAAGATGAGTTCTAGGGAAACTTCATGTTGGTCTATTTCCTGTAGTTAAATTTTGAAATTCCATCCCTGGATAGAACCATGGCTGGAACTTTAACCGTGAGCCCTCTGTGACAGCACATGGAAAATGAGGGGATTCCACGGGCCGGCATCACCACACCTGAGTGCAGAGGATGACACGTATTAACACAGCTGGAGAGTTTCCATTAAACCCAGTGTCCACCACGCTGGGACCAGAGTGAGAATATAGCACTTCTCAGAAACCTAGAAATGAAAAATTCTGAGAATGCCACGGGGCACACTCAGACCACTACGTAACACTCGGGGCATTGAACGAGGCACACATGACAGCAAGCTGCATCCTTGCTCCTCAAAGCTCCCACTGCTCACGAGGAGCACCAGCTGCTCCCAGATCTCTGCTGGCAGCCGAGGCCAACCAAGTCCGTTTCCCAGAGACACTGGCAGTCCCTCCCTCACCCTGAGTCTTGGCCACTGGCTAGACCACACAGCATTCACCATTTTAGAAAAGCAGTTACTTTCACAATTTGTTGTTCCTTGTGTATGAGCTCATTGCCACACTTCCTAAGCCTACCACACAACTTGAATTCCCTTTTTCTATTCATAGCAGTTCCCTCGTCTAGTTTTGACTCAACCATTATCAAAGCATGTGTCGCTCTCTCAGACATTTGTCTGGAAATTCTGTGTATGTGACTCAGTAACAAACAAGTAAGCATGAGCACGCAGGTATCATCCCTTTGGGATGATGTCCCTTATTTTCTAAAAGTGATACTTTTCCAGGTATCTGCTAATAACAAAAATAAAAACTAAACATATATATACATGCATGCATGCATATATAATACATGTACATATTTATGTGCATATATAAAATTTGGTTGATGCTACCATAATCTGCAACAAACCATACACATTAAAAGAAAGCATGGTAGCAACATCTCCTAAAACAAAAATGATGAAATTTAAAACTATGTCACTGAAAAGATGAAATAGAGCACATTATTTCTAGGATCTATTAAATTCTTTTGCTTCCTTGAGCACACACACTATATGGATATTGCTAAATTGTGGATATCAGTACATTTCTGCCTTTTAGCCACCACCCCCCCCCCAAAAAAAATCCCAATTCTCGCAAACCAAGAAATGGTAGGTTTTGTGTTTGCTTCCACTTATGTGGTATTTCCATTCATGCTGGGGAAGTGACTATGTATGTGTTCACTGTGAAACTGATAAAAATGCCTGTTTGGCCCACACTCTGTGGCTGCCCAAGCCTGGGGGCTGGAGTTCTAGGAGAATGCCCAGCCCAGGCTCATCTTGATGCCCGAGCTCAGACATTTCTTGCCTCTTCCAGCGCCCACTTTCATGTCACATTTTAATGTGGGCCTTCACTCACCTTTGTCTGGCTGTTAGCCCACCTTTGTAACTAATCTCCTCAGCTTTCCTATGGGGCCTGGAAACCCTCAAATAAAGTCAAGATGACCCTAACAGTTTGTTTTGTCAAGTACTCTGAAACCTTGGCTCCCTGTTGTAGGTAGGGGTATCTGGTCACTGTAGCAAAAGCACAAAACAAGTATATACTGACTCTACTTCCCAAATGAATTTTACCTTCATTTCTCGCCATCAAACAGAGGTATGCCATTTGGGAATGCACTGGGAAAGATGGGTTTCATAAGTAGATACAGCAAGAAGATATAGGTAATGCTGTTCTTAGATGGGTTTCATAAGTAGATACAGCAAGAAGATATAGGTAATGGCTGTCCTTTGAACCAAGAGCAAAGAAGCCACTCTGGCAGGGGGTGCTTACCCTTGGGCTCAAAAACACCCAAGTGGCTCTTGGAGAGAATTTCAGAATTTCCCATAAATTTGGATGGGGGAAAAAAACCACTTATTTTCACTAACCTATAACTGAAATTTAGCTTTCTTTTAATTATGAAGATAGGCAACAAACTACAATAGTTCCCTATGACTTTGTCACCATTAGTTGTTACCAGTTCCTTGAAATATCATTAACATTCATCCCCACTTTGAAGGTGCAATGCTTACTAAACCCACCAGATCTTATTTAATGTATTAATAAAGAAGCACCTACATTACTATATCACATATTTTTTAAAAATTTTCTTCGCCATAATTGGTTTCCTTAGTATCCTATGTATTTTGTTTCGTACTTCCAAGAATCACTCTAAGAAGTGGTTCACAGGCTCCACCGGACTTCTAAATAGGGCCATGGCTCAAAATCAAAGACTGCGACTCCCTGCACTAGGGTTTCACAGATGAACTTGAGTTGCTGGTTTACAAATACATCATCCCAATAGGAACATGGCAAATGATAATGACTAATGCTTGAGAAATGTGATTTAGGCATGTGCTTCTAACAAGTGTTCAACCCTCCTGGGTCAAGAAACTTCAATGAAAGGGTGGAGAGAAAGAGAACCTGCTGTCAGCAAGCTTTCAGAACTGCAAGGCAAGCCATTGCATAACCATAGTCTGGATTCGCTGGTTGGCCTTCTTTATTCGGCTTGCTGAGATTATGATATTCCTGTCTTCAAGAATGATTATAGGTTACGAGGCCTGCAGTTTCAAAACTGCCCTCTACGGCTATTTGTAAGTTCCTCTGATTCTTCATTTATTGCCTATTGAGTTCCCTGGTTCTTTGCCCTAAAAGTTCTAGCTTATTCCTTTGACTCAGGGTTTCAATTAGACCTTTACAACGGAAGACAGTTCTTTGTCTTCAAGAGAAGCTGACTCCATAGTGTCAGGTCCTACTGGACTTGGGATGACTCTTCCTTTAATTTCAGTTGACTCATATTCTCAGTGGCTGACTCAGAGGCATGGCTCAATAATGACGACATCATTTTAAACTTATAAAATTTGAAGGGAGCCAGGGACAGAAATAGAAGGGAAAACATGTAGAATGAATGATAGGAATAAAAGAAAAACTGTATAACAAATGAATGACGACTGCCAGTGGCCCTTTGTCTTGGAATAAAATAAACTTTACTAATAATAGCACATAATTTACATGTGAGTAGAGTTTATATAGTCATTATTCAGTTTGATGTCCTTAACAACCCAGCCAACGGTTACAAAAGCTGTATCTCAGAGAACATCAAGGACAGGACACAGGTTAGATTTCCCAGATTAGAAAGTGGGGCTTGAGCCAGGACTAGGCTCTCTACTCTTGGGGCAGGGCTTCTCCATGCAACACAAAATCTGAAAAGCCCAGAGTCCTCAGGGGTACTGCTTGAGAAAAACCAAACAAAACATAGAAGAACTGTGTACCGCCTGAAAACTAAATGAGACTCAGGAGCAAAACGGTAAACATCAGCACTTCCTAATGTTTATAACACTCACCAAAGATAGAAAAGGACAGAGAAGCATCGTTGCCATTTGAAGCAAAAAGAAAAAAAAAAAAAGAAATGATAATACATAGAGAAGACAGGATTTAGCAAAAGAAACTGGAGGTCAAAAACCATTGAGAGTCTACTTGAAGTATTATTTCAATTTTTAACAAGGTTATTGCGTATCTATTCATACGTTTGGTTCTTGTTCATATATATTGAAACATAATATATGCATATTGTATTACCAACAAGGCAAAAGAACCTATGATACAAATAATAATGTCTTCGATGGTTTTTAAGTACATTTCCTATATAGTTTTCTGAATAATATCCAACAAAAATTATGTAACATTCTTTGGCTTTATTCAAAATAAGTAAATAACTTCATCTTTTGGTTATTTTGTTTCTTATGATCTCTTACCCAACTACAGGGAAAGCTTGGTGCTCATAAAAGAGAAAAAAAAAAAAAAAAGGAGAATGGAGGGCCCCACTGGTCTCTAAGCATTGTGCACGTGAGCGGTTGCTACACAGGTTTCTAGATCCTGATTTGAATCTCAGGGGCCAGAGCTGTGTGTGTTCCACAAAAGGTCCTTTGAAACTCTGTTCCCTTCCTGGTCTGACAAAGCCCTAGATGGCTGACCTTTGAGGGACAGACACGTTGGTTTGGCTTGGCCTCTGATCTCCGTGAAGGACTGTGAGCCATGCTCATCTGTCTGGGAGCTGCTACCTACTTCCTCCATTATATTTAGCTCTTCGGTTATTTTCCTAATGAGCTGTCTGTTTGCCTCCAGCCTTCCAGCCAGAAAATGAATGTGTGCAAATTATAAACTAAGTACCCAGTGCTTGAGCCCTACAAGGAGCAGCTCTGCACATTTTGAAATCCACCCACTCTAGAGTTCTAGCTGGGGCTGTGTCTTTATTCTGTTTGCCCCATGGCTGGGCAGGAGCACGACCCTCTAGCTCGAGCCCTACGTTCTCTCGAATAACCAGCTCCATAGCTGCCCTTCCCCACACCTCCCCACCTTGCTAGTTTGCTAAGGTAGCTAAGAGGCAGATCAAGCACATGCTTACCATGGCAGCAAGTCAAAGAGAAAGAAAAAATTAAATGTATTTTAATCAACCAGGTAATTACCACTGGAGAATTTTTTACAATTATGATGTAACTTTGAATAGGCTATTTTGAATTATGTGTGGTGGGGTTGGAGGAGAATGAATCTTAGTATTTTTTGATTCGTGAGGACTCTAAAAGTCATCATCAGCCTCTACTGCCTAGCATCCTCCAGACTGGTTTTTGCCCCACCCACTCCTCAATGAATCTTCCACCCAGAGTTGATGTGACTCAGAGAATTCAGTCCTGCTGGAAATGTGGGACTTGGTGAGCCTCAGTCTGCCTTAACATGAACTTCTCAGCTCCTGTCGTTTTACCCTTACACGGCCCCAAATAACTGGAAATTGTAGAAACTCACTACTTCCCATCTTTAAAGCCAAATGACATTTTGGTGGTGGTTTGGAATCTTTATTTTCATGAAGTTGATGAACACCAAAATACATACACGGTTATGTCTTCACAGATAGAATATCGCACAACCCCCACCTCTCATGTCTTATTTTTAATTTTAAGACCTAGGAGGTGCTGTGTAACCAAGCGCTCTCTAAACCATGAGAAGCAGTTTGCACCTCATGGTGGAAAAGCCCATTATCAGTACGTCCATGAGAGTCAACACGGATGGGCACACGGTTGCTACGCAGAAGTGGTTTTCTGCTCAAGGTGACACCAAAGGGTGAAACGACCTAGAGGAGATTTGGAGTTGGTTTAGCAACTGTTAGATATTGCCAAATACTGAGTACTTGGTTTTAAAAAACTTTAATATATTAAATATATATACACAAATATAAATTTGCACAAAAAATAAACTACATGGAGAGTACACATCTTTTAGAGGACTTAACAGCACTTCTTGCGGGGGCGGGGGGACAACAAAAAAACATTACCCAGAGCATTTAAAATACAGTGTCGGTTTTAAATTTTCATTTATATATAGCTTTTAGGAATTGTTTTGGAAGAAATAAAATTACAGGCAGAAGATCTCATGACTTGATTTGCAGTGACAATTTTAAAATTATATATTCAGGGCTCAAACAACCAATACATCCCTTCACCCTATCTATCCCTATTTTTCCCCTGGTAACTTTGTGCTGGGCAGGAACAAAAGGACAGCAGTTGCAAGGTCTGCCTGACATTCTGTGCCTACTTCTTTTCCAGCCCCAGCAGGAAGAAACCATGGGGCTCAGGATTTTATAAACATGAATTTCTTACTCAGTGCTCTAGGGAAGATAAACTCCAAGCCCTGGCAGAGGGGAAAACGCCTCCCAGTTTCCAAAATTGGACAGTCAGGCCCAGTTTGAACCATGGGATCCAGCTGCACCAGAGTAAGCCTGGCTGGCCACAGTGTGGCCACATCAAAGCAAAACACACATGCAATTTGGGGACATTCGCCCTGCAAATTTTGATGGGAATGTGAGTGGGAGGAGAGTCAGTGACAGCCCCTACCTCTTACTTCCAGGTCCCCCCTCCCCCTGGGACCTCCAGGATAAACTGCTCCCGCTCTGCGGTCTGGGACTCTCACTTGTTGAGACAAGGAGCTTGTTCAGCCTTACATATGAATGAAGAGCAGATGGAGAAGTAAGCCTCACTGACCACTGCTTCCCTGAGTGATTCCTCTCCCACACTCTCCATGGAAAGCCCTTCACCAAAAAAAAAAAAATCAATCTCCTGGCCTTTAAATCTGGCTTCTGTCCTAGTGAGAGGTTGCCAAGCACAAAGCATTATGGGGGCTCCTATCGCAAAGCTAACAGGGCCCTGAGCGACCAGAAGGAGAGAGCTGCTCTTTAAAAGCTTTTAAATGCTGTTATATTTTTACAACCACTTACTGAAGAGGTGAATTATTTTCTACCCCTCCTTCCCCAGAAGCATGGCCATTAAGGTTACCTGGAAACCTGTCCAGGAAGCATGTGGCAAATAGCAACCAAGCAATAGAAACATCCGGATCTGTCATCTAAAAGGAGATGGTATCAACAAGGTCATATTTGGGTAGAGGTGGATTGGAAACTTCATTAGTTTGCATGTCCTGGCTATTTTGGGGGGCTGTTTACACACGCATTTGGGAGGGGAGTTTGTTCTCAGCTTAGCTGGTGGGGGAGCTTGGTTGGGCTAAGTTGGAAAAGAGGCTTGAGATTGGATGCTACTCATACTAAGGACTACCCCATGGAAGGAAGAAGCACAAGGAGAATAAAAAGGCGTTGGAAGGCACTGCCTCTGATCTGGAAGGACTTCCAATCTGTTGGAGATGTGATGTACACAGAGAATGACCTGAGAACAATTTTTAAGTTTCAGAAGCACAGTAACATACCATGGAACAGTATCTCCTAGGGAGACAAGACTTCATACTGAAGGTGATTTTGAATAAGGTCTTTAGAGACAGAACGGCAAAGAAGATGGGAGAAAAGATGGGGGGATAGCTGGCATGGTATGTTAGCCAGACGTTCGCACTGAGGACACGAAACAAAAAAATGAGAAGAGGGCTTGTCGAGAAATTTACAGGGTTATTTATTTTGATGTTTTAATTTTCCTGATTGTATGGGTGAGAAGGAAATGACTCCTCTGTCTCTTCATGACCTTAGCTACTGGGGAAAATTTGTGAAAGCCGGGTTTTTCATTTTTTTTTTTTTCTATTTCTAAAGAGCTTATTCCTAATGTGTATTTCATTTCCAACCAACACCCTTTCTATGTCAGATGAGGTGATAAAATTTGTAATTATAGAGAAGCAAAGCTGTGACTCAGCTGTTTCACCACGCAGCCTTGCCCACAGACACAGGGCTTTGGGAACTCCAGCTGGCCGAAAAGCAGCAGTGAGGAGAGGGGACACTAATGAATACTTGCGACATGCACTCCCTTTTGCTTTACCCCAGGATATGTCCTTTTTCCGATTCAGCATTAAGGAAGCGAACTGACGAAACTGTAATTCTGAAAGCTAAGCTATCAGCAAACCCTGTTCCAAAAAATCAGCTGGACCCAATAAGGCAAGCTGTGGGACAATCCCTGGGCTTCCACACTGAACTCTTTCCGCTCAGCAGCCATCCGTTTTCTCAGGGGCATCAGGGCATCTGCGTGAGTCAATGAAACATGGCCACGGATACTCGAGCAACCAGGGAGAATCAGACACTAACAACATAGACAGGAAATCTCCGCAACACAAACAATTCTCAGGAAGGAAAAGGGGCTGAGTGATAAAAGCCCAGCTGACATGCCACACACCTCTCAAATGACAATAAAACCAATGCTGTCAACCTGAGACTGCCGAACCATATTCTAGCCAGCCTCTCGGCTTGCGGGCTTCACAAATGGTGGCTTCATCAGGTACTAAGACTCAGAGAAGGACACTCACCTGAGCATCACAGGACGCGGCCATGGTCTCAGCAAGCCCTCTTGACTTGTAGGAGATGCCTGACCTCGGCCCCTCTGAAAATGGAAGGAGGCACGTATCAGACCTGCACCTAGTCTTCCCCACTCACCTCACAAAGGGCAAGAGGTGTTTAAAGGCATGAACCAGAAGCTGGACTACTTGACTACACCTGTGATATACCATGGTCTTAAAAAATTCACATAAGCCCTCTATGAGTCTTGGTTTCACCATCTCCAAAATGGTGTGAGTTCACCTGACCTGTTTTATTCTACAAAGGTCACATATTAAAAACGCCAGACCAACGCATGGTTCTTTGGGTGAACAACTGTTTTCTGGCTTTGTTTGTATCTACTACCCCGATAAATCGGGATCGATCATAATCTTAGCAAAGTTTCTGTTTGCATTTGTTTCCTCCCTCACATAAAACACACACAACACGCATACTTATAAAGAATCCGAATTCTTTCATTTTCTCCAGCTCCAGTACATTTCTCCAAGTGAACAAGAACAGGAGAGAATTTACAGCACAAGCCAAGAATTACTCATAACATTGCATACATCCAGGAGAAAATATTACACACACAAGCATCATTCTTCCTGTGTGCCCTAAGGGGTGGGGATGGGGGTGAATTTATTTGAACTAAGCTAAACTCTGCTGGACTTGGTTTTCAAGGTGTTTATGCTTTTGTTTGCTCACTCACCTGAAACATCCGTGTCCCTGTGCCAGAAAAGTGCTCAGTGCTTATACTCACGCCCTTCCCGTGGGCCCCCACCCAATTCCACTAAAGCCAGAGAACCTGGGACAGCTGGAGACCCCCCGCCCCCTCCCCCACCAGCGAGCCCTGCAAGGAAGAGGGAAATCAAGAGAAACTATGGATTCCCTACCTTCTCCAGTCCCCAAAGATAATTTTTCAGTAAAAACCTACAAGAACCAAACATCAAAAACCAGAAACAAAACCTAAATAAAAGCACGAAAAATTTAACGAGGCATAGAGATTTCTGTAGGAGAACTTTTAGGGACCAATGAGATTGGAGATCACACAAGGTGGGAAAGGGGATTGGACACCGGTAGGAAAAATCCCAGAGGAACAACTAGCCAAAACTAGGAATGAGGATGTGGGGAACTTCTCCGGAATCTATTTCCCTCTAAATGTGGGAGAAGAGTCAGAGCAACGTGCTGGTGAGAGTCGGGTAAAAGAGTCACCTTTGCGCGGCCCGGACCTTCGGACCTTCGTGTCCAGCTGCTCCCGCCCCCCGCCTGCAGGTGAAAAGCTTTCCCGTGCCCCCTCCTCCTGAGTTAAATCAAGTTCTCTTCAGGTGCTTCTCCTGATGTAAATCCACGGTATCATTCAGGCTCCCTGTTCACTGGCTCAAACCCTTTCAGACCTTCCCAGATCTGTTTTCTCTCCAGTTCTAACCCCATCTTGTGTCACTTCCTCAATACCAAAATTCTGCATAATCCTCAGAACAGATCAACTCCAGTCATCTACATTTTTTTCTAGGTGCAGAAAACAAAAAACTGGGCAGGTCCCCTCAGTTCACTCCCTCCTCACCCACATTTCCTGCTCCTCTGACCAAGTCACCGTCTCCAAGAACAAGCGTCTCCTGGGCTTCCTGCCAGAGTAGTTATTTTACAGCTTTCACTCGAATTTCTAAAAGGCATACTTTTGAACACGTAAATTAACAGACAAGGCAAAACTATGTTTGGAACTAAGAGTGGCAAAATTCTCAAAAATACAAATCTGCCCCAAGTTAGTTTTAAAAAATAAAAGTGCCCTTGAAAAAACAGAAGTGCTTATGAAATACTCAAATTTATCTTCAGTGAGCACAAATACAATTGGTCCCCTAAAAGTGTGAGTAATGATCCAAGGCGAGGGGGAAGGGTCAATGCTGACTGGTTTACAGAAAGTGAATCTGAGTCATGGCAAGGTCCTGAAATTTCACAGGAACTCATTCTGCCTGTAAATGCCCCAGAATCGATGGTGAGCAAAGCGAACTCTGGCCAGGCAGGCAGAAGCGCTTTGTTTTCCATTGTGCGGTGACGCCAGATCCCCCGTGCCTCTGACAAAGGCCTTCGTCAAGCCGGTGTGTCATCGTTTGCGTTTGCCACGGCTGCAGCTCGGCGTCCGCGAAAACCCACTTCCCGACTTGCCAGTGCCTCGGGTGCCTCCTCGGGAGCGTGGGCCGGCGGGCCGGGGCCGCGCGGGGTGCAGCGCCACCTGCTGGAAGCCGCTCGGGAGAGCAGCAGACGAGCCGACCGCGGACCCCGCGGCGTCCTACGGGCGCCCTGTTTGCTTTGAGGCAACGACCAGGCCTGACCGGAAGGAGAACAAAAACACTAGCAGAAATACGCACTCCTGATCCCAGCCCGTCCTCAGGGTGCACACGCGAGCCTTTCCCCACTACAGGATGGGGTGTGGTGTGTGTGCACACGCGAATGTGTCAAGGTGCAGTGTGGTTGTGCATTTGGGTGGGTGCAGAGGTGATCTCTTAAAGGTAGGGAAAGTGGTATTATCGTCATCCTCCTTGCTGGACCCGCAAGGAGTCCTACCGTTGGCAGCTACTCTCGCATAAATTATCCCATTGAATCTCCCACTACTCTGTACACGGAGATAAAACCGTCTCACCCAGATGAGCGGCCAGCACCCTGGCTCTGCTAGCAGAATTACTCAGGACCTCACCACGTTTGAGGATGACAGCACACGAATGAGTTCCCCCCCTTTCAAACGACCGCACCCCCATGGAAGCGGAGACTCCCAGTCCCTCAGCCGGCGGCGCCGGCCGTGGGCGTGGAGGGGATCCAGGGCGGACTCTGACCCGAAGTAAGCTCCAGCCAGCTGAGCCGAGAAGCCTGAAGCCCAACCTCAGCCGGCCGCCTCCGACAGGCTGAAAGGGGTACGTCGGAAGACTCGGCCGGCCCGCGCCCGTGGCTCTTCGTCAGCGATACGCTCCCGCGGGTCACAGTTAGGAGGCGACTTTCCCTACCGGAGAGGTTCCTGGCCTAAAGCCGCTGGACATTTGTGGAAGCAGGAGGCCTGAAAGACAAAGGCAAAGGTGTTTCACCAAGAAAGCTGCTGTTAGCAACGTGGCAGTGTCTGCTGACGCTACCAGAAACACCAGCGAGTGACCCAACAGACTGGGTCTTCTGGGTTTTCCCGGTAACTGAGTAATAACAACAGCACCGTGAGGGCTGACTTAGGCCAGGCAGTAGGCTAAGTACTTCACCTTTTCTTTTCTCATGTGATCCTCACAACTGCTCTAGAAGATCAGCACTATGCTTAGCCCTGCTTTACACATGTGGAAACTGAGGCCCAGAGAGTTTAAGTGGCCTAAGGTCACCCAGCTCGGAGGTGTAAAGATAGGACTCAAGCCCAAGTGTGTCTGGCCCGAAGACCATGCTCCCGGTGTTTACTGCTTCCCAGCTGTTGGTGCCCTATGAGGCCATGAACTGTATAGTGTATTTTACTTGTTATTTCAAGGCCAAAATGACTCATCAGCCGCATGACCACACCACTCATTTTCACTGACCCCTCGAGTAGGCAAGCAGGGCCTGAAGAAAGAGCTTTCGTTCACCTTGTTTTGAGCCCGGATGACAGACCAGGAATGGTTGGAATGAACAGTTCTAGGCCAGAGGTCAGGGGACAGAACCGGACTTCCAGGGCAAAAACAAACAAGGCTCTCGGTGACATGTGGGGGCCCGCAGGCTGGGGCTGGCCACCGTGTCTTGGGATGGGATGACGGGGTGTGAAAAGTGGCCTGCCCCATTCTTAGGCAGCTGGGGTGGATGAGGAAAACACTGCACTCAGCTTCCTGTTCTGCCACATACCACGGGGAAGCTGTACGCCTGACTGGAAGGGCGGCCTTTGGCAGCGTCGTCTCTGACGACTTCACATAGGCCAAAGCTTCTCGCTCTAAAGTGGCAGTAATGACATCCAGGCTAAACTGTTGTCAGGTAACGCAACCCTGTGTGTGAGAAAGTGCTGGTAGACTCCAGGGTTCTGCAGATACAGTGCATGTATGGTTATCGGTTCCACAGGAAAACAAGTATTTTATCAATTCTGACATGCGCTTGTCTGAGGGATGGTAAAGAGATACTATCTGTGCGGTCTTTTGCCCTGTGGCAAAAACTTCGGGACAGAGCTACATATATAGTTCCAGGTTTCTGTGAGGCAGTCTGACCTGCCCGGCTAACCCGAGTGACATGGTCGTCAAAGCCGTCCTGTGCGGCCCAAGGTCACTTCTACCAACAGCAGTGCTGTCCTCCCCCATTGAGCCAACCAGTCCTAAGAGCAAACGAAAATAGTGCCAGGTTTACAGATAAAGGCTCTGAGGAGAGCTGGAGAGACGGAAGTGAGAAGGGAGGGGATGCCGGAGCCCAGGGCCTCCCTGTGGAAGCAGGCGCTAAGCCCCAGCTAGTCTCTCTCTCTCCTGGCCTCCTGGGAAGGCCCAACCTCCCCCACCAGTGCACGGCAAGGGACACGGGCAGTCCCGGTAGCACAGGCCTCAAGCCTCCAGACAAAAGCCTTTTGTCTAGGAGGTGTTGGGAGACGCCACACAACGTGTTTCTTTCTCAATTGATTTTGTTTTTTTCTTTTCTAAATGTTACCTAAATCCTGGAAAGCTATTTCCATGAGCTGATTTTAAAATACCTTATGATATGTGCAAAACCGTCAGCAGCATGAATGTCTACCTTGAGGGGAATGGTGAAGTAGAGGCTGGTGTATTCTCTAACGTTGATGAGAGTTTATCAACACACAAAGAAGTGCCATAAGGTAAAGGGGGGGGTTGTGTCAGGCTCTAAGGGAAAAGCAGAGAGAAAAGCTGCCTGCGGAACTATCTCATGGCGGCGTCCGATAGTACAAAGATAAACGAGGAAGCTGACCAGTATGATACAGTAATGGATGCACGATCTTGTGCATTTGTCAAACCCCACAGAACTGTATAACGCAAAGATAAACCTTAATGTGAAGAAGGGATTTCAGTTAATAATAGTGTTTCAATATTGGTTCATTAATTATAACAGCTGTGCACCTCATGCAGGATATGAACAACAGGACAAGCTGTGTGCAGGGAAGGAGTATATATGGGAAGTATTTGTGATATTGGTTCAATGTTTCTATAAACCTAAAACTGTTCTAAAGAATGAAGTCTTTTACTTTTATTAACAAAACTAAAAACAGGGGCGCCTGGGTGGCTCAGTTGGTTAAACGTCTGCCATCGGCTCAGGTCATGGTCCCAGGGTCCTGGGATAGAGCCCCGCATCGGGCTCCTGGCTCGGCGGGAAGCCTGCTTCTCCCTCTCTCACTCCCCCTGCTTGTGTTCCCTCTCTCGCTGTCTCTCTCCCTGTCAAATAAATAAAGAAAATCTTTAAAAAAAAAAACACAAAAAACTAAAAACAAATAAATGAAAAACCAGAAGGAAATAAAATGCTAACAGTAATGTTTTTTGGATGATGAGATTATGACTAATTTCTTTTTTTTGTTTGTTTGTTTTTACTCTTCAAATTTTCTACATTTTAATTTTGCCTGTTTTTACCTATGTATGTTACCTTGCCAACCAGGAAAAACAAATGTACAGTTTTACAATCTTGTCTGGGTGGCCGGTCTCTGCAACAGAAAATGTATTTGCTCCAAGTGGTTGGTTGTCCAGTTCTTTATACACGGTAGGAACTTAATAAATTTTGCTTATAAAACATAAGCATCTTTAAATATGTTGTCACTCTGTCAGCCTTGGAGCCTGAGAATTTGTTGCCTCATGGCTCAGGAGAGGACAGCAGATTAAAATAAAAATTGTGGGAGGAAGGAATCAGAGCCTTGAAGGATGAGCTGGATGTGTCACTCTGAATTGAAAATCTCTTCTTGAATAGCCAGGGGCCTCTTTGGGCATCTTGAGAAGCATCCAGTAAATGGCATTGACAGGCAGGAGAGTGATGGGTGCGGATATAAGACAAGATCCCAAGATGTTGTGTAATTAAGCAAGAAGCATTGTGTAGAAGTTACAGTCATAGAGCTGGTTTGAGAACTGGAGAAGGTTATGCCAGGAAAAGGCTTCGCTAAGTTCCTGATTCCTGGCAAACCAGTCAAAAAACGGTAACAGATATTTGAGAGCATCAGAAGAGTTTGTTATATTCTAGTTTTAGAGCAAATCTTCATAGTAGAGGTGTTTTGCAGTTTACAATGAATCTTTGCATTGATCTCATTTACTGCTTTCATTTGTCTGTCTGCCACGTGACCTTACGTGACTATGAGCTTCTTGAAGACAGAGCCATGTATTGTTTATTTTTGTGTGGCCTGTGTATGCCTGGCCCATAGTTTGCTGAAAGGTGGCTGCAAAGTCTTTGACACCTCCCACTAAGAGAGGCAGTGTATTTCTCCTTCTTTTGAATCTGGGCTGGCCTGGGACTGCTTTGAATACCTGAATATAGTGGAAGTGACATTCTGCCAGCTCCAAGCCTAGTCTTAAAGGGAACTTGGTATCCTCAAGCCATGAGCTTTCACACACAAAATCCAGCTACCCTACTGGAGAGTCCATGTGGGGATCACATGGAGAGGGAGATGAGCCCAACTGAGCCTAGCCTTCCAGCCGCCCCTGCCAAAACATCAGACAAATACATGGAGCCATTTTGAACCATGCAGGTCAGATCAGCCACCATCTGCCTGTCCCAAAGGACCCCAGTTGACTCCACATAGAGAAGAATAATCACTTAGCTAAGCCCTGCCTAAATTCCCAACTCACAAAATCATGAGACATAATAAAATGGTTGATTCGGTCACTAAGCTTTGGGGTAGTTCATCATGAAATAATAGATAACTAGAATAGCTCTCAATAAATGTTTGCTGCTGGATAGATGGATGGATGGGTGGATGGATGGATGGATGGATGGATGGATGGATGGATGGATGGATATATGGATGGATGGATGGGTGGATGGATGGATGGATGGATGGGTGGATGGATGGATGGATGGATGGATAGATGGATATATGGATGGATGGGTGGATGGATGGATGGATGGATGGATATATGGATGGATGGATGGATGACATTGAAGGGCCATTGTCTTTCTCAGAGAAATGATGCTCAGAGAGCTAAAGAAACTTGCCAAAGCTACCATAGTGCACATTTGTCATTCACTCTCCTCCTCCAGGATCTGAACCTCCTCCTTCTTTTGGAGAATCCCCTCCCATTTGAATGTGCCTGGAATACAAGAGTCTAAGTTGCAAGTGGGTTACTCCATTTCTTAACTACATCCAGTCCTGCTGTGAGAAGTCAGCTTTCATCTGAGCCTTGCTCCTTTATAAGATGGTTTCTTTCTCTCTAGCAGCTTTTAGACTTTTCTTTTGTTCATGAAACTTTTAATTGCTCTAAAATTTGTCTAGGTATGGGTTTTTCTTTATCTCTCTGTGTGGTACGCCACAAGTCTAGTCAATCGAGAACTTTTCAAGTTCTTTAATTCTAGGAAATGTACCTCCATCATTTCTCCCAAATATTTCCTGTATTTGGTTTTTAGTTTTCTCTTTCTCTGGGACTCCTGTGATCTGGATGTTAGCATCTTTACTTCTTTCCTCCTTATATCTTAGCTTTCTTTTCATACTATTGTCTCTTTCTCCTTGCTTGCTCCCTTCTGGGAAAGTTCCCTTAACCTTATCTAATTCATTCTTCAACTATATTTATCCTACTATTTATGTTATATATCGTGGTCTTTATTTCAACTATTTTAATACTTAATATTTTCACTTAATTCTTCTCATGATCTCCTATGCTTGTTTCAAATTGCTAATATATTCTCATTTTCTTCAGGATATTTATATCAAGCTCATTTTATATCCTCCTTCTGTTCATTCTAATATTTTTGCTTGCATAGTATGTATTGGGGGACTTTCCAAATTAGGGTACTTTCTGACCTTTGAGCTTATATTGAAAGGGGGAATCAGCTACCCTCTGATACTGCACATCAGGAAAAGAGTTTAAGGAAAGGGAGGTGATGCACCCAAGCACTAGAACCATGGCCCCTATTCCCATTTGCACCTCCTTT